TTTCACGTTTGTAAGGCCATCTATGCCGTGATTATTTGTGCTTGATACGTACAATGACTGAACACGACAGCCCACCTGTTTTTATGAAGATGTTGAAGAATTTTTAGAGCTCCAAGTTTCGAAGAGGAACCCAATGTTGTGATCTTCATAGAGTGGTATGAAGAATTCGAGTTTTGTTGTTTAACCTTGAGAAGAAGAGTTGATGCTGGAGTGAGTCCGTCGTACACTCTTATTTTGATAATTTGGATGCTATCTTAACATCAGTTATGCTACATGTACAGAAAAAAATTGATAGAATTTTTTCAGAACACTTAGTAATTTTTCATTGGTTTTGGATCCAATAGTGGCAGAAAATACACCATACAATTCCCTGCGCACCTTTATGGTTTCTATGAATAATTCCTTGTACGCAGGGAATTATTCATCTCAACATTTCTTCGAAGTTAAAGTGCATGTCAGATTTTTCCATATATTTAACTAATATAAATGAAGAGATTAACCAAGTTTGAATAGAACGTAGATGTTTAAGCCCCCATTAAAATTATAATACATTTTTTTAACCATACATTTTTCAATAAAATAATATTATATGTAAATCGAAAAATTTTCCTTCTTTTTCAACTACATATTCTCCAAAAAAACAAGTAACTCGTTTGGCACAAACAAGTTCTCAGATCCATCTATTTCACTATGATTTTAGACTCCTGCGGCCATCGATATTTATTACCCCTTTAGAGATCAAGTTTGTGTCCAACTGCCCTTTTTTTTTTGGGCCCTTTTGACATCTGAACTTCTTAAGTAGTTTGTTGAGAATGAATATAAGAAGTTCAGATGTCAAAAGGGCCCCCAAAAAAAAAAAAAGGTTGTTGGTCACAAACTTGATCTCTTAAGGGGTAATAAATATCCCTTGTTGAACTGAAATTAAGCCATTGACAATACAAGTCATGGAACAAGAACAAGTGTTCGTAAAAGGAAATTCCAGTTCAACAATAAAAACAAAAGTATATGGAAAATAACTTGTAATGATGAATATTTCAATTATTGTTAGTTACCGAGGATATAAATCACTCATTGAGACATCATTTATAGATGCATCAGTAGAATTACCCGATCTATTCTTTGATGATTCTGTGGCATCTGTTGCTCTTGAATTTTGTTCCTGAAGAAGTGAAATTTCCGGACCAAATCTACTAGACACAAAAAATGCCGGCCGTGAAGGTATTGGCAAGGTTATAGAGAAGCTCGTGAGCATAAGAACTATTGTTGCCATTGTAGGCCTATCAGCTGCATCTTCTTGAACACATAATAAACCGATATGAATGCATCGCATAATGTCCCGCAAGGATCGAGCTGACGTTCTCAATGATGGATCTATTATATGTCCAGATGTTCCTTCGTGCCAATTTTTCCAAGCCTGTGAGAATTTGACACATTTCTTAAATTACGATATTCATCATTAATCATTGGTGTCTTCAGTTAGTCGAAAAAGATTAATTTTTACTTACACAACTAAGGAGGTCCTCCACATTCTCCCCATATTGGAAACTGCTGGTTTTTTGACCACTTATGATTTCAAGAACTAGGACACCAAAGCTGAAGACATCAGATTTACCAGAGAAGTGTCCATGCATTGCATACTCCGGTGCCATATATCCACTGCGATGGTTAGTTTATAAGTATATAGTCAATGACGAATCACATTTATGAATATATATTTCCAGATACATTTAGTGCTTGTTTAGGATAACTTAAAAGTTGAAATCAAAGTAAACAAATAGTTTTAAGCACATATTTCATGGAATCTACATTTTTTATCCTTTTCAACTGTATATATTATCAAATTTGCTTTTATCAAAAACTTTGTCAAACAATCTCTTAATTTGAAAATGATCCTGTATATTTTTCTCCAGCATTTCTTCATTGCTTTTCAAGCATATTATCAACCTGTTAAAATACAATATAACAATAATTTGAGGCACTATAGTTTTGTATAAAGCTTACTAGGTTCCTACAATCCTGCTGGTATTGCCTTGAGTTTCATCCTGGTCAAATAACCTAGCCATGCCAAAATCAGATATTTTGGGGTTCATCTCGCCGTCTATTAAGACATTACTTGCTTTGAGATCACGGTGAATGATTCGCAGTCAAGAGTCTTCATGCAGATAAAGAACCCCCTTAGCAACACCCCCTATGATTTTGTAACGTGTGTCCCAATCCAAATATTGGCGCTTGATCGGATCTACAAGTTGAGTTAGGCACATGACATAGTGACAGATCAAATCAAGACCATTACACTGAAAGAAATATGATTTACTTCAAATAAAATTTTACCAAAAATGAAACGGTCGAGGCTCCCATTCTCAACAAATTCATAAACAAGAAGCCTCTCGCTTCTTTCTAGTGAGAATCCCAAGAGCCTAACTAGATTCCTGTGTTGAAGCCTGGCCATTAACAAGACCTCATTTTTAAATTCCAAGTCACCTTGCCCTGAATTCATGGACAATCTTTTCACAGCTATTTCTTGCCCGCTTGGAAGTTTTCCCTGACATATATTAGAGCAAATAAATATTTTGAATAAGTGCCAATAGTCTAAACCCACATGGTAATTACTTCGTTACACGTCAATGTTCCACTTCTATATACAAGTCATCTTTTTTAATAATTACCTTGTAAACAACACCAAATCCACCTTGCCCAAGCTTGTTAGCATCAGAGAAATTGTTTGTTGCAGCTCTAATTGTACCAAAGTCATAGTG